TATGCCTTGTCGGCTGGTTTTTGTTGTATAGTCTTTCATGGTAGCGTGGTAGCTCGTACCTTATATGTAGTTTCTTGATTGTCTGGTCATCCCCTGCTATGTATGTTCATGTCATCATATTTTATTGTTGGTTGTCCATGATCCATGTCTACCATTTATATTGATCTCGTCAACCCTAAAAGATAATTAAAAAAAGGTTAGATAAAATGTACGTTGGTGCTCGGCAAGTATGGTCGGGTGCTAGTCATGGCCCTCCAGTTTGGGTCGTGACACTTTTTTTAATTGATATATATAAATTATACATTAGTTATAGACGATTATACTCATATTATTTTTTAGATTTATATATATATACACGATTATTTTTAATTAGTTTAAGTGGTTGGGTGTACAACTATTTGAGTTAATTCTTCTTTTATTTTAATGGTTGTACGTTTGAAATTACTAATAAGGAAAATCTTTAATGAAGGCTACAATTCAGAAATATGACCAGACAAATTTACGGTCCAAGCCAGTTCAAAGACATTCTTAATATGATGTGATATTGCTTGATTTTGTCAAGATAATTCACCCATTATTCCAAAAGGCTTCACACTATCAAAGGGTCATTAGATTATCAAATCTTTTTCTTCAAAAGTCCATCATGATGATAAGGAGTTAGGCTTGACCCTACATGTTCCATAGATTAAAAAAAATGTCAACACAAGGAGGAGGACATAAACCTTGATCTCCGATACAACAAGAAGAATGACTTTGGACATTCTTATAGTCATTTAGCGGTAAACAAAGTGACCTGTGTATGCTTTTAGAAAAGAATAAACTATCCACGGTACTATATGGCTAATCATGTACAATTGACCTAGTAGTTCTTCAATCTACAATGTGTAATCCTAAAACCATATATGTGGGCTTTGTCCATCCTATAAGCTCCTTATAAGCAATTTTTTAGGGGTCGCACCGAAAATACAATGAAGGTTGGTTGAAGATAATGTTATGCGGGCATTCAGAATCAGTCTTGAAGTAAGTGAATTTTTTCATGGACAGATAGATGTTGGGAGTGTGTGAACAAAGCAGGAGCGGCTCAACGATATGTGGGGTCTAATGCCAAATTTTGACGAGGCCTTAGTTATTATATATATATATATACTTATTTTCTTAGGTAGATTTTGTAGATGCAAAACGATAACTAATTTATTTTAATAATTCTTTTTCAATTGATATTTGATGCAATACTTGAAAGTTCGAAGAGAAACAAAAAAGAATTGCAATTTACTTTGTTCTTGATTGATTCTTCATCCTTATTTTGGACACATGAAGTTAAAAGTTTAAGTGGCTCTCGTCTCTTCTTGTTTTTGGAAGGGAAAGAGCAAAAAGTTTATTTTGACGAGAGAGCCAAAAAGAAGTGAAAATATGAGTCCCTTGCCAAATAGTAGAAAAAGAAATTCACTTTCATATGGTTTTCTTTTACCAAAAGTCTATTCCTATTCCCTAAAATAATACTCAAGTTGGAATAAATCATTAAAACTAAATTTATTTTCCCTTTTTATCAAAATATTGTATTGTGCTATTTCATTTAAAGTGCTCAAATTTTTAAAGATTAATTCACATTTAGTAACTAGTAAAAAATGGGGCCTTCATAATTGTGGGGCATAAGGCATTTGCTTTAACTGCTTTATGCTAGAGCCGGCCCTGGAACAAAGTCTCACATAGAAAGTAGAAAAGAAAAACAAGCTACTTATAAAGAGTTGGATACTCTTAATAGTGTGAGATCTTTTAGGAAAAATCGTACGGGTTTGGCCCAAAGCGGACAATATCACAACGTATCAAGAGTATTTTGGGCTATTTTTGTCCAACAACTGGTATCACAGCTAATGATTTGGCAGGACTATGGAGATGGCGGAGTGTGGCGTGGGGGCCCGGCTTAGTAGTGCCTTTGCCCGTCTACGGGGTTTACGACCTATTTACCCGTAGTTTCAAATACGCATACACAGCCTCTCCTTGGGCTTCTGTGACCGTAATACTCGGATCATGTGGGTGTGGCACACAGTTAATCTCCAAATTAGCCCATAAACGATGATGGGTCATGTGGAACTTAGTTCAAGGGAGAGATTGTTGGGAGTGTGAACAAAGTCTCACATATAAAGTAGAAAGATATAAGTAAGCGTGGGGATGATCCGAAGTGCATCAGCTACAATATTTTTTTCTCTGAAACAATGTTAGACTTCAGTTTGGTGCTGCTGCCTGCTAGATAATTTGTCCCATCTTCAGAATGTCTTCCTTATAAGTTCCCATGGGGGTGTTGACATGCCCTTCTAACATGTTATCATTTTTCAACGAATCCATTTCAAGAATAATAGCATTTGATCTTTTCTGAAATTTACACCAACAGACCAAAAAAAGCTGCTTTAGTTGCAAAATTGTTAGTGCAATGCTGGAGTTTTTTACGATAAGCTATGGCTAATACTCCATTTTTATTTCTAACAATTCCTCCAATGCATGTTGTATTCAAGCTGTTGTTACTACTCCCTTCTGAATTTATTTTCAATCTCCCTGTAGGTGGTATGAAGGGGAGTTTTGGCGTAACTGGTAAAGTTGCTGCCATGTGACCAAGAGGTCACGGGTTCGAGCCATGGAAACAGCCTCTTACAGAAATGCAAGATAACGCTACGCATAATAGACCCTTGTGGTCCGACCTTTCCCTGTACTCGCACATATCGGGAGCTTAACACACCGGGCTGCCCTCCCTATAAGTGGTATGGCGATACGATAGGAGTTTTGAATTTCTCAACTAGCTAGTGCATACTTCAGCCCAACTTTCATTCAAGTCCATATTGCCTTTGAACTCTATGTTCAACTTCAAATTATCTGAGTATAAAATTTATTACTTCCTCTGTCCCAATTCAGGTTTCATACTTTCCTTTTTAGTCGTACCACAAAGAATGTCATACTTTCTTATTTAAAAACAATGCAACTTTTAACTTATCAATTTAATTACCTTTAATGAGATGATTTAGAGTCGTATAAATTTCTATGGCTTGTTTTAAACCACAAATTTTAGAATTCTTCCTTTTTATTAAATTTCATACATAGTGAAACACCATCACATAAATTGGAACGGGGAGAGTATTACTATGTGTGTTTGGCCTTTGGCTTAATTTTGGTATAAGCAATTTAATACGACACAATTCTGATAAGATTATTTTATACCACCACCGAAGGATGTGGTGTAGTGGATGGGACCACTCTTCCCTTAAACGGAGGTCTCGGGTTCGAGCCCCGAGTATGGAAAAATCCTTCGTAGGGAGCACTTCCCCTCGAACGGGGCACTACACGGCGCGAATCAGGATATAGTCGGGCTCCAATGTGGGTACCAGACACCGGATAGGAAACCAAAAAAAAAGTTATTTTATACCAAATCTTACATGCAATAACTTATATGGGAATTAGTATTACGAGGATAAAGCACCTCAATTTAGCCACTCTCAATGTAGATCGTTTAAAAGTATCCTACACCTCATGTGTGGTTTCTTTCTTATCCATTTTCTATCTAGATCGTTAACGCGCACCCAACAAAATATTATGCTACAATAATCCATAGTTATTTGGTTCTTGCAAGATCTATTAGCAAATTTAAAGCAACAAATCTTTGAGGAATATTTAAAGATAAACAAATCCCCCTCTCTTATCAGATAGACAAAACAAGATCAATATGCTTTTATAATCTCAAATCTCAAGAATAATTTAGATACCCCTTACTTTTCATGTTCAAGACTATTATATAACTTCATGGAAGTTCAGGTTTCCTCATATTGCTAAAGCCTTAAATTACTTCCAAAAGTTCTAAACTTTAGTTGTAATTTATTAAAATTGTTTCTTTTTTGCTATATAAACTAAAAAGATGGATGCAGTGAATAGATTAGGAGAAGAAAGTCCCGTGGTGATATTCAGCAAGAGCAATTGTTGCATGTCCCACAGTATTGAAACCCTAATTCGTAATTTCGGGGCGAATCCAACGGTGTATAAGCTTGATGAACTTCCAAAAGGGAAGAAAATGGAGAAAGCTTTGATTGAGATGGGTTGCAATCCGAGCACACCAGCTATATTTATAGGGAAGGAGTTTGTTGGTGGGTCTGATGAGGTGATGAGTCTCAATGTCAAGGGCAAGTTGAAGGATTTGCTCATTAAGGCTAATGCTATTTGGATATAAAACTAGCTATAGATCACGTATGTATGAGTGTTTAATTACATGCATTCAGTTCTTTTTTTTTTTGGGTCAAAGAGAGATATTATATTATATTACTAGTAACTAATAATTGGCATTACAGACATGGAGTGTTTACTTGCAGTTAAATTAAAGGTGTTGTTTAGGCTTAATTCAGCACTATATACTACTTACACATTTTATTGGTGAATATTAGTCCATAAATAAATGTCTACTTTTACCATGCAAGAACTCCTAAAGGTGTTTGCAAAGGTGTAGGTTTGCTGTTACTATTTATCCATTTTGGTGTACTAATTAGTGGTTTTTCCCCTTAAAAAGATGTGATATATATCTTCAACTTTTCTTGTTAATAAGGTTCCCAGTTGTAAGCTGGATTGAACAACTACTATATATATATATATATAATTTCACAAGTGGAGTTTGGGGAGTATAGTATACGCAGACTTTACCCCTGCCTTAAAAATAGAAAGGTTATTTCTCATAGACCCCCGGCTCAAGAACAAATAAAAATAAAGTAATAGCAACAAACAATAACAAGATAATAACACTAGGAAGAGGAATCAAGAAAATTCAACGTCTAGAGGTTAATTATTACTAGTCCACCATAAATAAAGTAAGTTAAAACGCCATAGAGAACAACTAGCTAGTTACAAATAATATATTTAATAAATATATTAAGATTCATAGAACAAAAATAGAACAAATATATTAAGATTTCACTTGAATTGCAATAAACAACTAGCTAATTACAAATAACATATAGAACAAATACATTAAGATTCATAGAACAAAAATAGAACAAATATATTAAGATTCTACTTGAATTGCAATAAACAAAAAAAAACAGAAAAATAAAATAAATATACTAAGATTCAAGGCGGATAAAGGATGAATGGAAAACTTATCTCGCCGGCAAAAATCACGCCTGACGCTGGATTTGCTGCCTGAAAAGGAAAAAAATTAATTATTTGGGGTTAAAAAAAATCATATTTTGTTGCGAGAAAGGAATGAGCTAGGGAGAGAAGGGGAGAGAGAGATTCATATCACCGGAAAATTGATACCCAAACACGGTCGCCGGCGATGGAGGAGAAAGAGAAGAAAAAGAAAGGAAGAAAAGAGAAAGAGAAGGAGAAAGGAAGAAATGGGTCGGGGGAGGTTTTTAAATTAGATTTCTGACCGATTCGGTCGGAAACAAAAATAAAATTAAAAAATAATTTAATTTTCGACCGCTTTGATAGGTAAAGCACTAACAAAAAATTTAAAACAATTTCCGATGTACCTTACCGCTGTCGGAAAATAAACAAATAAAATTAATTATTTAATTTATAATTTTTCGACTGTTTCAGTCGAAAGTCCAAACGTGATCAAACTTTAAAAAGTTGACTTTCATATCGATCGAATCGGTCGCAAACTAAATTCCGGATTTTTGCGCCAAAATATTGTGACAAGTGTTGTTGGAATGTGGTCGAAATATTAAAACAACTTTTTTTATATTTTCTGACCGAAATCGTCGGAAACTTCCGACTATTATTTTCAGCCTGATTTTACATTTTCTAGTAGTGCATTGCTATTGGACTTTACCAGTAATGAAGTTATTACATTGTGACGACCCAATAGGTTATTTTGAGTATTAGCCTTAATTTCTGTGTTTCGAGATCTCTCATAGCTCCATTTGGTATTATATCACTTGCGTGCACAGTCCGTATCGTTTCTTCGAAAAACTTTTATGTAAAATTTTGAAGAAAACATAATTTTTGACTTAAAATGAGGCTAGAGTTGACCACGGTTAACGTTTTTGGTAAATGATTACGGATAGGTGTTTTGACAGTTTCGATAAGTTCGTATTTTTTTGAGCTTGTACACATGTTCGGTTGAGGTTCCGAGTGACCCGATGGCGTTTCAGCGCATTATGTGAAAGATTGAAAATTTTAGTTTAAAACTTGAAATTATGAGTTTTATTAATTGATTCGTGATTCTAAATGTTAATTTGGTGATTTGAGGTAGCGGGTGAATTTATATGTTGTTATTACACTTGTGTGAAGGTTCGAATTAGAGTCTGAGGGCTCAGATGAGTTTCGGATTTATTTTGGTTGAGTTTGGAGCTACTGAAGCTAAGCAATTGCTGGTGTGAGATTGTAGGTCTTGCATTTGCGAGAACCTGATCACAATTGCGAGCCTCGCATTTGCGATGCCAAGCTCGCAAATGCGAAAGTGTCCTAGGACTAAGGACTTCGCAAATGCGAAGAGGTGATCATATTTGCGGATCGGTAGGAGGTCGCATTTGTGATCCATGTGTCACATTTGCGACGACTGGATTAGGTAGGCAACTTCGCAAATGCGAAGTTTGGGGCATATGCGATACTGGGGTCCTTAAAAACTGCAAAGGAAAGGTCGAATTTGTAACATTTGTGCGATGTTGATCTGTTCGCATTTGCGGACAGTTATTCGCATTTGTGGAAAGTTCGTAATTGCGATACCTGCAGCTAGGTATAAGATGGGCAAAACGAGACTTAACTCATTTTACATTATTTTTCAATACTAGATTCCATAGAGGCAATTTCTTGAGAGCTTTTTCTTCTCAAATTCATTGGTAAGCAATTTTAACTAATTTTCAATCAATTTTGATTACTTTTTCATGAATTTTAACATCAAATCCATGAATTTCAAGGTAAAAATTAAGGGTTTTGGGTAGAATTTAGGAATTTTGTATAATCATGATTTAGACCTCAAATTGAGATCGGATTTTGAAACAAATCACCTAACCGGGCTCGGGGTGAATGCATAATCGGAATTTGGTTCGAATCTCGAATTTCGATCAAGCAGGCTTAGGATTGACTTTTGTTGACTTTTTTTAACTATGATAAAAAATTGAACATTTTTCATTTGTGGGTAGTTTCTAAAGCTTGTTTTGAATTGTTTGAACAATAATTGGCTAGATTCGGTTAGTTTGGAGGCCTGTTAGAAAGGAAAAGCCATAGTTGATTATTAATTTTGTTGCAGAAGGAGGTAAGTGTCTTGATTAACCTCGATGAGGGAAATAAGGTAGAATTGAATTTATTTGCAATGTGAATTATGTGTTGGGGCGCATATATGCAAGGTGACGAAAGGATATACGCGGCCATGGGATAAGCATACAGGTGGAATTTGCTTTATTTGTACCATGTTAATTTGCTTATTGTGTCTTTCCTCCCTTAGATAGATGGTCAATTCTTTGATTACTTGCTTTCAAGTTACTTCTTATATTGTGATTGTTGCGGTATTGGGTGTTGGAAACGTAGAAATTATTATTTGGTTGTTGGCTCTAGTTGTGGAAAGTTTCTCATATGACGAATAGGGTTCAATATTTGTTGAAGTCGAATTTACTTCCCACCTTGCATGTGATTGTGTTGTTGTGATTTCTTAATGAGGAAGAGTGAAAAGCACGAAGGGTGTTGTCGTGCCTTGTTCGCATCTTTGCTTGAGTGAACGTGAGGTCAAGCACGAAGGGTGATGTCGTGCACTTTGTTGACTTTTTTGTTTTGACTTGATGTGGATTTGACTTGATGGTTTCTGTGCTTATTTTGAAATAGGTTTACTTGGTGCTTATTAGTTATTGTTCCGCTTGTTTTCCCTTTCTACATGTCCCACCTTGTTGTTACTTTTGATGTTTTATCATTGCTTTATGTATATAACTGCACAGGTTTTTAGTAGGCATCTTGTCTTAGTCTAATCACTACCTCGTCGGGATTAGGCTCGAGACTTACTGAGTACATTGGGTCGGTTATACTCATACTACAGTTCTGCACTTCTTATACAAATTTTGGCATTGGTACCAACGGAGTCCTGAGAGGTACTTAGCGGATACCAGACATTATTCAAGGTAGAGGTGTATCCTGTTCGCGGGCCTTAGAGTCCCTTTCCTTATTTCATTGTATTGTTCCATTTTACTTCGAACAGTATTGTATTTCTTTTAGAACCTTATATTTAGCTGGATTTAGAAGCTCATGTACTTGTGACGCCAAATCTTAGGGTGGTTTATGTTAGTTATTGATTTTAGAATTTATTATTTTATCCTAGAATTGTTCTTTTAGTTATGTTATTTGTTTAACTGTCAGATATTTATTGCTTTTCTTTTCGTATTATTTGTTGTATTGGCTTACCTATCGAGCAGTGTTAAAAGCCATCAAAATTTTGATTGGTTCAGATTTTGGGTCGTGACATACCTACTTGAAATGAAATAGAAAGGGTCATATCATAAGTAGGTGCAATCCTTAACTTTTGTTTTATACTTTATTGACAATCTTGCGATGTTGAGATTGGAGGATATACCTTTCGGACAGTTTGTGAGCTGATCCACTTATTATTTTAGACTCAAACTATATATACACAATTTAAAAAACTTAATACACACATATTTATAAAAGAAAAGTGGGTGCACAAATGTACCACATCCAATGAATCATAAATCTGAATCTACCTTTAGATGGTGAAAACAATGTATATCTAGTGAAAGTTGGACTCAAAGTGGGACATGCTCGAGGCCTCTATCTAGCCTCCCCTCCTACCTTTTGCTTACCACACTAAACTCCTCTTTTGGCATGTAATATTTTGAAAACTCATTCGCTCTAAGGAGCGCTGCTACTCCTAATGTTTGGCAGTAGTACTTAATAAATTTTTGAACGGAAACCGCCCTAAAATACCCTTATCGTATGATAAATGGTTTATAAAAGCCCCTGTTCATCTACCCGTCTGAAAATATATAGGACGTTATTTTTATTTTCAAATCTACCCTCGCGACTAACGGAACTCTATGTGGGCATCTCATTAAATGATGTGGCGTTTTTTCATTTGTCCACGTGGCTCAATGGGGCTGACATTGTATTTGGGTATTTTCGATCCATTAAACTGGTCCGACCTACTCCTTTTACCTTATACCCACTCTTTTAACCCTATACCCACATATTTTACTAGTCTTCTTCCCCAATTTAGAACTTTATACCCGTTTTATTTTTATCCTATCTTCAAACTCTGGACCTTTCATCGACAACCAGCCATGGCTTCTTCTTCCTTAGTTCTCTCTTTTTTCTTCTATTTTATTTCTATATTTTCTATTTTGCTTTTCTTTTTCTCCTTTTTTCTAGCATCGAACCCATATTTTTTATCTAACTCTTTC